TCGTAGTGCTCTCTTACATATAGTGCAACTCCTCCTCCTTTTCTCCCTTGCCTGTTCTTCCTGAACAGTCTATACCCTTCCATGACAGAGCTCCAGTCATGCGAGTCATCCCACCAAGTCTCTGTTATCATAATTAAATCATATTTCTTGGACTGGGCCAGGGCCTCCAGTTCTTCTTGTTTGTTGCCCAGGCTTCTCGCATTAGTGTACAAACGCTTCAGGTAACCAGTTGATCGTCCTATCTTCTCCATTCGAATCAGGGGTCCTCCTTTCTTGCTCGTTCCTCTCTGCATTTCTTCCCAGTATCCGACTTTCCCGCTCCCCTCAGGGTTTTGGTCACCGTCCCCCGACGAATCTAGTTTAAAGCCCTCCTCTTTAGGTTTGCAAGCCAGCCCGTGAAGATGCTCCTTCCTCTCTTCATTAGGTGGATCCCTTCTCTTCCTAACAATCCTTGTGCCTGGAACAGAGTCCCATGGTCGAAGAAACCAAAGCCCTCTCTGCGACACCACCCGCGCAACCACGCATTTACGTCCTCAGTTCGACAATCCCTACCCAGTCCTTTCCTTTCAACAGGGAGGATGGACGAGAATACCACTTGTGCTCCGAATTCTTGGATCCTTCTTCCCAGCACTACATAATCAGCAGTAATCCGCTCAAGGTCATTCTTGGCCATATCATTAGTTCCCACGTGGAGAAGCAGGAAGGGGTAGCGATCCGAAGGTTTGATCAAGTTTGGTAAGCCTCTCAGTCACATCCTGAATGTGAGCTCCCGGTAAGCAGCACACCTCTCGAGATTCCAGGTCTGGACAGCAGATGGATGGCTCAGTCCCTCTTAGGAGGGAGTCCCCGACCACCACCACCCGTCATTTTCTTTTGGGGGTGGTGGCCATGGAACCCCTACCCTAGGAGTATGCATCCCAATGCCTTCCAGTAGATGGTGTTCCCTTCTGGTTTCTTCCTTGTGAGGGCCCTTCCAAAGCATTCAGCACTGTAGAGCCTGTGGAGAGAGCCTGAAAGCGATTACTTACCTCTATAGCATTGGGGGATTCCCATGCTGGCCTCTTCCCCCTTCTAGAAGTTACATGCTGCCAGTTCTCTTCCTGGTCACATACTGCCCTCTCTGGCTCCTCTGCCTGCCGTGCTTCAAGGATTAAACACTGCCTTCTATCGAGGAAGTCTTCATCCTCTCTGATCGGGTGTATGGTCGACACTTGGGTCTCCAGTGCTCTAACTTTTTCTTCCAAAATGTTGACCAGCTTGCACTTCGTGCAGATAAAATCTGTTCTTTCTTCTGGGAGGAAGACAAACATGGCACATGCCATGCAAGTAACAACAGCAGACCTATCACCATCCATCGCTGCTGTCCTGGAGAAGGGATTTAAAAAGAAAGGCAAAAGAACCTCACGCCCTATCCTCTCCCCTTCCAAACTCCCTCTCTAAACTCCCTGTTAGCACTCACCTGTCCTTGGTCACTTGCCCACTGCCTTATAAAGCCCTGGAGTGCCTGAAAGTCCCTCCCCCTACCAAGGCTCAGCCAATCAGCAGAGGCTTCTAGAATTCAAACTTTAATTAGAAGCCAACAGTTTCCACCTGCCAATCACAGCACACACTCCATGAAGGGGACGGGGAGGGCAAAGGGGAAGTGAAAAAAAAAAAGCCTCACAAACAGATGGACCTTAAAAGGTCTGAACTCAGTTCAGGAGGAAAGGCTGATGTTTTGACTGGTCCATTTTCTGTATAATACAGTTTGCCCCTCAGAACTACATACTTCATTCACAGTGGTGATGTCAAGTGATTTTGATGGTCTTGAAGTTACCTCTATAGACACAGTAGCACTTCACTAGTGCTATCACATATTTTCTGTAAAAACATCCTCTTTCAGAGACCACACTGCAAAAAGTTAATGTGATGAAAAAAATTCACTTCTGTGAATAGGATGCTAATATATTTTATGTCTGAACAGATTTCAAAAAGACTCCTGCCTTGTTACAAGTGCTACACAAGTACAACCGTATTCCCTACAACTCTCTACGTTGTTGCATCTTAAGCTGCAAGCTTCCTCTTCACTTTCCATGCCCTCAGAAGAGATTATTGTTTCTACTATAGTTACTGTAAACAATACAATACTGGACTAGTTGGACTGCTAGTTTGATCCAGGCTGTGAGGTCCTATATTTCTGTGGAATCAATCAACTGTTGTCTGTTTGGATCAAGCTGATGAAAAACCTCTGGTTCTTATTATTTTGTAGTACATAATATGATGCAGATACTGTACATACTTTTAAACTTTGTTAACCATTCACAGTTGCTGAAGTAATTTCTGCGTTGACAACATAAGAGACTAGTTACAGAGGCGTATAACTAATAATTAAGGCATTACTGAGAAATGGATTCAAAGTTTTGTGGTACTGAATGGTATGTCTTCCCAAGTCTAGATTTTTTATGCAGCCTTGAACTATTTCCAAGGTATCAGAGGGGTAGCCGTGTTAGTCTGAATCTGCAAAAGCGACGAGGAGTCCTGTGGCACCTTATAGACTAACTGAAGTGTAGGAGCATAAGCTTTCGTGGGCAAAGACCCACTTCGTCAGATGCATGTAGTGGGCATAAGCTTTCGTGGGCAAAGACCCACTTCGTCAGATGCATGTTCTGGAAATTTCCACTACATGCATCTGATGAAGTGGGTCTTTGCCCACGAAAGCTTGTGCTCCTACACTTCAGTTAGTCTATAAGGTGCCACAGGACTCCTCGTCGTATTTCCAAGGTGTGATGTTTTTCTTGGTCTTTATGGTGATGAAAGAGCTATGCAAGACAAGACTGTAGGTATATGAAATCAGTGCTACTGTGATTCTATTTTTAATTAAAATAAGTCATTAATTAAATTCAGATTTGGACTACTCCCATTTAAAAATAGTTACATTCCTCTCTCAGACATCATCTAAAGATTTCTTTTTTGTTACTTTCCAAGCAGAGTTTAGGCCTATGGAGATCTTTCTTTCCTGACTATATGTGCCAAATTCCACTAATAAGTGAGGGGGCTCACATATGCGGAGAATGAACCATAGAATAGATGACTGTGCAGCAGGAAATAAGCTCAGGATGGGGTTAATAAAAATAAATGGAAATGATGGCCTCAAGAATCCCAGCTTATGGCCTCAGGGTCACTGATTTAGAAATACAGCCTCTAGGCAAAAGCATCTGATAATTGTGATGCTTGAAAGCGCTAAAACATGGAGTATTCAACGTATGACCAACAAAAACCAGACTGACGGCATGTCATCATCCAGATGTTCATTTCCCAGAAGGCTTTGAGACTGGGCCTTAGAGAGCTTTGCACTTGCCCACATTTTACAGCCCCGGCAGTTTTGATTTGTTAGATATTGACCCATGAAAAATAAAAAAACTGATAAATTATACTAGACCTATTTTGCTGGCTTATGATACTTTAAAGAACTAAATACTGGACATTTCTCAAAGCCCAAGAATGTGTTGGGTGTTTACTGAATGAATATTTGCACTTGACAATAGTTATGGGACAGAGCTGTAATTTTGGTGTATTTCAGTAGCTGAATTTAATAATTTTATGAAAATGTTAAAGGCCCATTAACAAAATAAATGCATAGATTTTAAAAGTGTCACCGTGTTTCATCATTTTAGGCCATGGTCTCATGAAAGACCACAAGAATGAACAGAGTCATGTGTGTGCACGTAATCCCAGAACCTGGGAAGAGACCACTTGAGGCAATGCATGAGTAAAGAGTTTTGTGTGTGTGGCTCCCAACTGCTGTACTGGGTCTCTGACAGGGTGCAAGGCAAAGGATTACTGATTTAGCCCTCTATCACACCAGCTCCCATTTAGGGGACTAAATTAGAGCTGGCTGGTGATAACCTGTCCCAAACTGGGAAAGAAGAGACAGCTGCCATCTAATTAGACTGGGGCTGTATAAAAGCCTCAGGGAAAGGAAGCCAATGGGGGAGCAGAAAGAAAGAGAAAATGCATGGAATGGAAGAAAGGAGGTAGCTCTTCCTTCGTCAATGTTTACTAACCCCAGGGTCTCAGAGTGACTCTGTGGACCTAGCAGAGGCAACAGCCAAGGAGTCCTGCCACAATCTGCTACAGGGGTCTTAGGTTGTAAGATCCTTATGTAAAGGATCTGTTATAATTTGTCTGGGAAAAAAACAGGAAAACCAATGATGCAGCATATAATACATAGAACATGTCAAGACAAGAGATTTAATAGTCAGTTGCTCCATCATTTACTTGTCACTTAGAACAGGAGGAAATTAAAAGTCTGAAAAGTTCCAGCACTATTCATTTCAGTGAGCTCACCAATATTTTTGAATGGCTCTTTCTTTGCGGTTCCACCATGGTGACATCTCTCCGTCCAACATAGTGAGGAACAGTGGAGTTATGTAAAAAAGCAGTGAGTTCCGGCGTGTCCGGTGGAATAGCAAACTGGAAAAAGAAAGACAGTGAACTGGAATGACATACCATACAGTTACTTTAACAGATATGTTACCTTCTTGGGGAACTTGAACTTTATACTAGCTTGGTTTTTAATTTAATAGCACTACAATGAGACTAGATACCACTTTGTTCTACTAGCAGTTTAATTGGCAATATTACAGCAGGATGGTGGCCAGCAATATGCACTGCACTAGATAATTTTTTTCCAGACATTCTTTACTGGAGCCAGTTTCAATTCTGTACTTGTTTTTGCTAGATTCTTGGGCCCAGATTCTGATCTCTGTTACATTGTGTATTCAAAGCCGCTCTCACTGAAATCTAGTCATTAAAAGAGATCAGAATCTGGCTTTAAGAATTTAATGGTTTTACCAGCATTCAAAAATATCTGCATTCTACTATTCTCAGTTTTGGTGGTTGTTTCTGGAGGATTAATTATTATAATAAAAATTATCCATGTTAGTAAAAAAACCCACCTGGGTGACTTATCCACATACAGAAAATGTAAGAACCAAAGCTCAGAGCCAAAGTGTTTTTATTGTTGGTAGTTCTGTGTTTAGTTTATATAAAAGGCAGTTATTGTCTTCCTTTACCTTTCCTGAAGCCTCCAGAGATATATAACGGATCTTAATTTTTCAGGAAGGAAAGATACATTTTCTAATTTAGCACAGTTTTATCAAGTCAATTTGTAACAAAATATATGATGAAGTTTGTGATATGATCTGAAAGGAATTCACCTAAATACACCCAAAACAATTCCTTAGGTCCTCAGATTAAAGGACTTTATAGGCTGTTGTGCATTTAAACTCTAAAGCTCAAAATTTGCATTTATTTTAAAAACAAGTGGCACCTTAGAGACTAACAAAAATATATAGGCAGGCCCTCTCAGAGAATGGCAGAGGCCTGGGCTACTTTGAGTTTAGAGGTTCCAGCCCATCACAGGCTCCCAATGTGCCCAACGTCTCAACCAGAAGGTCATACTAAAACCAAAAAAAAATACCAAACAGGTGGAGAATGCTGTGGCAGTGACCCCTCAGGTAAGAAATCAGAAGGGAACACCATCTACCGGAAGTCATGGGATATGTTGTCCTAGGGAGGGGGGTTCCACAACCCTCCCCCCAAAAAGAAGAAGATCGGAGGAGGGAGTCCCCGACCACCAGCAAAGAGGTACTGAGTCATCCATCTGCCGTCCAGACCTGCAATCTCAAGAAGTGTGTTGCTTACTGGGAGCTCGCATTCAGGATGGGACCGAGAGTCTTCCAAAAGTGATTAAACCTTCGGATCACTATTCCTTCCTTCTTCTCCATGTAGGAACTTACGATACAGCCAAAAATGACCTTGAGTGGGTCACAGCAGATTATGTAGCACTGGGAAGAAGGATCAAGGAATTTGAAGCACAAGTGGTGTTCTCGTCCATCCTTCTAGTTGAAGGAAAAGATCCAGGTAGGGATTGTCGAATTGAGGAAGTAAATTGCACAAGTGGTGTCTGAGAGGGCTTTGGTTACTTCGACCATGGGATCTGTTCCGGGCACAAGGATTGTTAGGAAGAGATGGGATATACCTACCCAAGAGAGGAAAGAGCATCTTTGCAGGCAGGCTTGCAAACCTAGTGAGGAGGGCTTTAAACTAGGTTCGTTGGGGGACGGTCACCAAAGCGCTGAGGTGAGGAAGTCGGATATGGGGAAGAAACACAAGTAGGAACGAGAAACACAGGAGGACCCCTGACTCAAATGGAATAGGTAGGATGATCAACTGGCTATCTAAGGTGTTTGTACACAACTGCAAGAAACCTGGAAACAAACAGGCAGAATTAGAAGCCCTGGTCCAGTCAAAGAACTATGATACGTTTGGAATAACGGAGATTTAGTGGGATGACTTGCATGACTGTAGCACTGTCATAGAAGGGTATAAACTGTTCAAGAAGAACAGGCGAAGGAGAAAAGGAGGAGTTGCATTGTATGTAAGAGAGCAGTATGATTGCTCGGAGCTCCAGTATTTAGAGGGAGAAAAGACTGTTGAGAGTTTATGGGGAAAGTTTAGAGGTGGAATCAACAGGGGTGGTGTTGTGGTTAGTGTCTGCTATAGACCGCCGGATCAGGTGGATGAGGCTTTCTTCGGACAACTGAGAGAAGCTCCCAAATCGCAGGCTATGGTTCTCATGGGGGGACTTTAATCACCCTGACATCTGTTGGGAGACCAATACAGCAGTCCACAGACAATCCAGAAAGTTGTTGGGGATAACTTCTTGGTGCTGAAGGAACCGACCAGGGGCCATGTGGAATCGACCTGTTGGGCTAGACTGTTGGGCCCAACAGGTAGTGATCAATGGCTCGATGTCAGGTTGGTGGTAGGTTTCTACGGGAGTGCCTCAATTTTGTTCAACGTGTTTATTAATGACCTAGATGAAGGGCTGGATTGCACCCTCAACAAGTTCACAGATGACACTAAGCTAGGGGGAGAGGTAGATACGCTGGAAGGCAGGGATAGGGTCCCAAGTGACTTGGACAGATTAGAGGATTGGGCCAAAAGAAATCTGATGAGGTTCAACAAGGACAAGTATAGAGTGCTGCACTTGGGACAGAAGAATCCCAAGCATGTTTATAGGCCGGGGACCGAATGGCTAAGTAGCAGTTCTGCAGAAAAGGACCTGGGAATTACAGTGGATGAGAAGCTGAATAAGAGTCAACAGTGTGTCCTTGTAGCCAAGAGGGCTAATGGCATATTAGGGTACATTAGAAGGAGCATTTCCAGCAGATCCAGAGAAGTGATTACAGGCAGTCCCCGGGTTACATCAATCCGAATCCCTAGTTACAAACGGGGAGGGGGGGGCCTCCCCCACTGTCGCTGCCTCCGGCGGCGTGGGGGGGCGCTTCCCCCCAGCAGACTAGGGAGACGCGGAGCTAGCGCCCCCCTCCCAGCAGACCAGGGAGACGCGGAGCGGCTTTTCTCGACGCGGAAGACGCGCGTCTCCTGGGGGGAACAAGACACCAGCCAAAAGGGGGCACCCCAGAGCGGAAAAATTAATTTCCTAGGGAACAGCAGGAGCAGCAGGCAGTGAGACCCATTGTGTTACAGTCCCCACCTTGGGAGCAACAGCTCTTTCCATCTTCAGCACTAGAGCTGCAAGTATCTTGTTAGCGTCA